ACGACAGCCTCCTAGTAGGGCCCAATTTGCAGCAAGATCTGTTCGGCATTTTAATTCGGTTTAGATTTTATAAAATAGTGATAACCGGCGATATTCAAAAAATGTACAGACAAATACTCCTGCATGAAGATCATAGAAAATATCAACAAATATTCTGGCGCGATAACATAAATGAGCCGGTGAAGGTATTTCAGTTAAACACCATAACTTACGGTTTTGCTAGTTCATCTTATTTAGCTACCAGGTGTTTATTAGAACTCGCCAGGTACGCAGAGCTCGAATTCCCTGACGCGGCCAGGGCAATTTCTACAAGTTTCTATGTCGATGACCTTATTTGCGGTGGAGACACACCGGAACAAGCGGCGCAATTATTGCAAGAAATAAAGAGCATTTTAAAAGGGGGAGGGTTTGAGCTGCATAAGCTTAATAGCAATTACCCTCAAGTAATTTATGGCAATGAACAGGTAGGCGAAAATTATACAGTATCCTTGGATAAGCAGGGTCCGACAAAGACTTTAGGGGTACTTTGGGATAACAATGCGGATGCTATTAGATTTTCAACTTGGGAAAAACCTGCATCGAAGGTAAAGGTAACAAAGAGAATCATCTTAAGTACAGTCGCAAAGATATTTGACCCACTTGGACTTGTTGCACCCGTCACGGTTACGGCAAAAATAATTCTGCAAAAATTATGGGCCTCAAAAATCAATTGGGACGAAAGTGTACCTTGCGATTTGTACACAATATGGAAGAATTTTATGAAGTCACTTCCGGAACTGAATAGTATAACCATACCGCGTAGAGTAATTCATGATTCAACACAAGTTCAGTTGCATGGTTTCTGTGATGCAAGTCAATATGCATATGGCGCGTGCATCTATTTACGGACCATGTACCCGTCAGGTACTTATCGAGCTAAACTTTTATGCGCGAAAAGTAAAGTTGCACCCTTAAAGCAGCTAACAATTCCCCGGTTGGAATTATGCGCGGCACTGTTATTGGCACGTCTCACTAACAAAATAATAAAAATTATAAATATTCCTATTAGCGAAAAATTTAATTGGTCCGATTCGTCAATCGTATTAGCATGGATACGTCTTAATCCCTCGACATTAAAGACATTCGTTTCGCATCGTATTAATGAAATACAATCATTAACAGACATTTCAGACTGGCATTACGTCCCCTCTAGTAAAAATCCTGCGGACATTTTATCAAGAGGGGCTACTCCATTACAATTAAAAATGTCCCAAATGTGGTGGACCGGTCCCAACTTCTTGGAAGGTCACCACCAAAATATTCAATTTGTCAAAGATGAGCGGACGCAGTTACATATTCCAGAAGTAAAGTCTGTTTGTTGTTCATCAGTAACAAAACCTAGCGTACAATTTGATTTACTAACCAGATTTTCTACCTTTTCAAAATTAATCAGAGTCACTGCTTTCATTTTACGATTTATAAACAAGGCATTGAATAAAACTCCAAAATTTAATGGTCACTTATCTTGCGAGGAATTGCAGCGCGCCCATGATTGTGTGATTAAGCTATTGCAAGCCGAAGCCTTTTCTGAAGAAATTCATAATTTAAAAAATCATAGGCAACTCCTACACAACAACAAAATTTGTGATTTAAATCCCTTTTTGGATCATAAAGGCATACTAAGAGTAGGGGGTAGATTAAAAAACTCCAATTTAGACGTCGAGCAGAAACATCAATTATTGCTTCCCAAAAGTCAGCATGTGACAAGGTTAATCATTAAAAAATATCATGAAGACAATTTGCATTCTGGTTGCCTGGCAACTTTATCAGCCATTCGCCAAAAATATTGGCCCACTGCAGCCCGCAGTTTAATTCGTCGTGTAATTTTTAGTTGTTTTAAATGTTACCGTGTAAAGCCTGTGGCATTTCAACAGCTCATGGGCGATCTACCCAAAGAACGTATCACGCAAGCTCCTCCATTTCTTAACACAGGTATAGATTATGGGGGTCCTTTCGTCATAAAAAATGGGTACGGGCGCACCACAAAAAGGATAAAACTTTTTATCGCTATATTCGTCTGTTTCGTCACCAAAGCAGTGCACATCGAAATGGTCTGTGATTGCACAACATTCACATTTTTGAATGCCTTAAAGCGGTTCATTTCACGAAGGGGTAAACCGAGTCACTTATATTCAGACAACGGCACAACCTTTGTTGGTGCAAATCGCCAACTACAAGAATTAAAAAATCTTCTTGAGTGTGATGAGTTCAAATCCAATGTATTGGACAACCTGGCAAATGACAACATAAATTGGCATTTTATTCCACCTCGTGCGCCACATATGGGCGGATTGTGGGAGGCCGCAATAAAATCTACTAAGGGCCATTTAAAAAGGGTATTAGGGGAAACTTTACTAAACTTTGAGGAGATGAATACATTATTGGCAATGATAGAAACATGCTTGAATTCCCGTCCAATTATACCCATCTCAGAAGACCCTAATGACCTATCTTCCTTAACCCCTGGCCACTTTCTCATCGGCACTCCGTTGACGGCTCCGACGGAGCCCATTGTTGGCGAATTACCCACCAACCGCATGAATAGATATCAGCTCGTGGAGAGCTTGAGGCAGCACTTTTGGCAACGATGGTCGAAGGAGTACCTGCACAACATGCAACAAAGGACCAAATGGAGCCGCACACCAACACAGCGTCCAGCACTAGGAGACCTCGTCATCCTGAAGGAAGACAACACTCAACCCTTACAATGGCCTCTGGGGCGAATCTGCGACATACATCCTGGGCAAGACGGTCACTGCAGGGTGGTAACAGTGAAAACTGTGCGCGGAGTGTACAAAGGCCTCTCTCGAAAGTGTGTGTAGTGCCGCGCGATAATGAAGAAACTCGAGCGCTTAATCTCAGTAATAAACCACCTACTGTACTCATTTAAATCCATGGACATGTAATTTAAAATTTTCTAGTTATGGTACATATAATATTTTCTGAATTGTAATTATATCAAATTCAGCGCGGGGAGCTATATATTTTTTTTTTTTTAGTTATGTAAAATGTTTATGTTTATGTTTGAAGGGGTGCAGCCTTTCCCCTCTACCGCTCACGCCTGCGCAGAGCGAGATGATATCTAACAAACAAAGAGAAACGGTTTGATGAAATCTTGAAAGAGACGTTGTGGTCTAGTGCCTTGAAAATATTGGTAATCGGTATAATAATATTAATAATAATAATATTAATAGTTTATTGTACTCAACATAGATTAATCTCCAATTACAGAATACAAAACAAAACTAAATACAGTAGCGGTCATTTCTACGGAACCACTCGATAAAAAGTGAAGTTGGTAGCCCTGCCATCTAGTACTTTACGCCGAACGCGGTTGGTAGCGGTAGTTGATATGGCAATCGAAACTAGCACAACACGAATGTTTCGGTTGCCCTCAGCTATGCCGCACTGTATCCCGTGCAGACTGTATGTTCTGTTCATCTATTTATTAAAATAAAATATCCAAATTGACAATGGGGCCATCTAACCTGTCAAATTTTTGACACATATGTTTTCCCCCAGAAACCCGTCAAGGTCACTTACACCAAACAAATTTTGAAAATTTACATTAGGGAGTGGTTCTATAGAAAAGATCGCGACTTTAGTAGTCTATCTTATAAATAAATAATTCAATACAACGTATGCCTGCAAATATATCTAAATATCAACTAAAATAGAACAGTAAGTATAACTCATTATAGAATAGAGTAGAACAAAATTCTGACGCTCTGTAATTATGTGTTGTGCTGTAAGTGCCAATTGGATGCACAATTTGTGTTTAAATCCTAAATTTAAACAATAATTTCTAAAATTTAAATTTCCTCTTTACGTCACCAATAAGAAGGTCAAGACCAACGACGCGAATGTAGAACGCTGAAACATGGAATTGCAAGCACCAGAACTACGAAACGCTGACTACCACAAGAGCACCATCGTCAGCGTTACGAAGACAGCGGTAATGGAACAAAAGAAAATACAAGAAACTGGGACGCAATATAATTTCATATGTATTATTACCTTCAGTTTAGAACCACTCACACGCTGTAACTAGTTAGTTTTGTATAAATAAGTTAGGTTGTTTTGAATAAAATCAGTATTAAGCTTTATTGGCTTTTTACTCACTCCCACAATTCTACCCCAGAATTGTTCAATTTGTGATATCTGCCTGCTTCCAGGTAAATATATCATATATATTATGAAAGTTGTTTACGGCATTACAAATTTCATGAGATTGGTCCTAGCTCTGCTGTTGTATAAAATATTCCGCCTTCTAACCATAACCGTTGAACAACTAAAATTAAATAAGTTTAACAAATATGGACAGCTGATGTAATTATTAATCAGTTTTATAATTACAAAAAACCGCACATAAGCAGTGTTTATTCGATCGGCAATGCTTAACATGGAAAACTTCGAGAGCAACTCTTCTTGTGGAAATCGACGCGGTGGATATATATGAAACATCTTAAAATTTAAACACTTTAGAAATCTTCTTTGAACTCTTTCTATTTCCATGATTTCAAATTTGCTCTTAACCAGAGAATAATAGAGCAATTTAACTGGTGTTTCACTTTTTAAGTCAGTACAATTCCTAACTATAAAACCAAATATTTTTAGTGCTTCCGATATAATAGTTTTAACATGATTTGTGAAACACAGATTTTTATCAAAAATAACGCTCAGATCCTTTACCTGAGGTTGTCGCAAAATAATATTGTTATTGAGGGTGTAGTCAAAGTCTATCAAAACTCTTAATAAGGTGAACGATAAAAGATAACACTTCTTATAGTTTAATTGAAGAAGATTCTTTGAACACCACGAATGTACCTTATCTAGGTCCGATTGCAAAACTAGACAGTCTTGAATGCTAGTAATGCGACGATATAGTTTCATATCGTCAGCGTACAGAAGAACAGAAGACCTGATATCATTGGCAATGTCATTTATGAAAATGTTAAAAATTAGGGGCCCAAGAACGGAGCCTTGAGGAACGCCTGAAGTAGCAGTGAAATTGGATGAACGAAAGCCACAGCATTCAACAAAGCATTTACGTTCAGTAATGTAACTTTAGTGAAAAGTGAATATAATTTTTCAGAAAAACCGAATTCTAAGAGTTTTCGCAGCAAAATACCGTGATCCAAACGATCAAATGCTTTTGAAAAATCTGTGTACACAACATCAGTTTCATAGCCATTCTCTAAATTGCTAGCGAGATCTTGAGATATGGTCATTAAATTGGTAACTGTGGAGCGGCCTTGAACGAATCCATGTTGGGCATCACTTAAATGATGTTTAATCTGGTAATAGATAGTGTCATGCAAAAGAGATTCAAAGATCTTAGCGAAATTATTCAGAAGAGAAATAGGACGGTAGTTCTCTATGACCGACTTGTCATCTTTTTTAAAGAAGGGGATAAATTTGGATACTTTCCACTGATCAGGAAAAGTTTGTGTTGACAGTATTATGTTGTAGAGGTATGTTAGTGGTTTAGAAAAAATTCCGACGCAAAAAATGCAGGAATGGAATAATTATTTTTAAGAACACTTCGTCTTCAGATATTTCAGTGACAGAAAAGTTATTGTAAGACATAGAGTCCCCGTTGTTAACTGGGTCAACTGTAAATTCCTCACGATCGCTAAGTAATCCTGATTTCTTAAATTTCTTCCATAATGAATCCTTCTTCTTAATTAACTTAATAATCTTTGCTGAAAACCAACAGGATATTTTAAGGAACGGGGTTTGGTTCTGGGCACAAAACGGTCCAAAATTGAAAATAGGAATCATAGAATGCCTGACAAGCTGAATTAGCATCATGATATCTGAGTAAAAAATTCCAGTCAGAAAGCAACAGCTCACTGTATAGTTCCTGAAAATTAGCTTTACGAAAATTGAAACAAAAAATTGTATCAGGGCTTAATTTTTTAGGTGATTTTGAAATGTTCAGGTTATATGTCCAAGTTAAGGACGGATGGTGTAAGTCTTCTCTTACTAGAGGGTCATTTCCCTTAGAGATGGTAATACACTCATTAGAAATTACGAGGTCAAGAATCCGATTAAGATTATTTGTAATATTATTACACTGATGTAAAGAAAGAAACGTAAGGAAATCCGAAAGGTGTTTGACAGATAGTGGTAAGTCCATAGAGTTAATACAACTGCTGTATGCAGGTAAATTACAATCTCCAGCAATAAATACATTTGAGTCATATAAATAATTACTTTGGCATAGAGTTTCAAATAGCAAAGAATATTCATTGGTAGATAAGGCAGGGGGAATATAGAGTAAGAGAAGTTGAAGAATGCATTTTTGAAAATAAAGTTTGATGCCAATTAAGTCGACCGATGGCAGTGACGTTAAATTTATATTAAGTACTTAGATCTAATTTTACAGCCCTTATAGATGAATTAACGGCTATTAAAACACCCCTTCCTCTAGAAACATTCAATGTATCGTATTTCCTATCTGAACGGAAAATACGATAACTGGGAGGAAAAATTTCATTATCTGCTATACTATCATTAAGCCACGTCTTCGTCAGTAGAATTATATCATACAAATTTTCTGATACATTTAGATAAAAACTTGATAATTTAGATCTGAGACTACGAACATTCTGATAATAAAAATTTAATATATCAAAGTGGCTAATGTTCAACGAATTATTTAGTCAAGAAGACGAAGAAGAGGATGGTGGCAGAGGTTCCATTAAAGTTTTGGGAGTACTTAAAGAGATGGGTATGTTGAACACATCCTGTTTAAGTTTAGCTAGGGCTAACTTGTATGCAAAGCATCTATTATAGTCCCACACAGCATGAGATGTATCAATATCAAGATGTTGGGAGTTACGAAGATGGGAACAGTTTGAACAGCTAAATTTTGTTTTATCTTTGTTTACGAGGCAGTCCTTGAGTACATGAAATTCAGAACATACGGGGCACACCGGATTTTTCTTACACTGACTTGAACCATGGTTAAAGGCATTACACTTGAAACACCTCAAAACTGTAACAGCGTCAAACACTGTGCAACCATTGAGGTCTATAAGTAGATGACCAGTATCTAGAAGTTTTTGTAGGAATCAGCATCAACTAAACATTCGGCTTGAAGAGTATTTTCAGATTTGGAAGTAGACCAAATTTTTTTAACTTCACAAATGAAATCTTTATGAAACAAATGCGAATTTTGAGTTAAGGCGTAAGTTCCAATATCATTTTTATCCAAACCTTCGGGGATACCAACAAAGCGTAGGCAAGGTAGAATGAGAGGTGTTTTTTTAATGTTGTAAGTATCTGGAAGTTCATTGCTGGCGATATCTAAGACTTTCTCGCTGTGAAGTTTATTTGCACATTTTATTACAAGGCCACCATTAGATACAGATTTAACGCTACTAATTTCAATATCTGAAGATAGAGGTTTAATAGAATGGAGAACATCTGACTTGATTTTGACATTCAGAAGCATTTTTTAACTTATTAGCACAACTGAGGTTTTCGTTAATATGATGCAAAGTTGTATTAATGGAGTGCTGCAGAGATTCTAATGGATGTCGTATAGGCTTGAGCTCATGGGATACAATAGTGTGAACATATTTTAAAAAAGGATTTTCGGTATTTAAAGGAAATGCTTCAGAGAGAGACAAAGGAGGAGTATTAAAAACGTCGATGCAAATCGCACACACAATTTTAAAGTGAGGCGAATGCAAATGAAGGCGATTAATCGTATTAATTTCTTCCTGCTTGATTCCCAGGCAGTTGAAGTGAGAAAACTGTTTGCAAAAGTCACAAGCTATACCGCACGATGCAGAAACAGGATTATTACAACCGGAACAGATGTGATTAGATGCCATCGCGAAAAGCTAGGCCTAAAAGCAGAAAATACTTCACAAAACTAATAGCATGCAAGGATACTCAAACGTAAACAAACAAAACTAACACAACGTATCCCAAACAGGTTTTACGCCGACGCCCACAGCGCTGACTGTGGCATTTGCCTTTGTGTGGCCAATAAAGGAGCATCATAAGTAAACAAACCGATATTAAGATACTAAATTACAAATTAAGTAAGTTTGATAACAGCTCACTAATTGACTGTTACGCCAATAGAAGCGGAATGCATAAAAGTGTAAATTAAATGCAACTTACAAAATAATGATTATCTAAAATGGCAAAATAAACTGATAACATTGACAGCACACGTCACACGTCACATTAGAAGTATAGAGGGGGACCCGAAGAAGAAGAGGGATGGTAAAAAGGAAGGTAGAGTAAAACTTCATTAAACAATGTAGTTAAGGGATAGTTTATATCTACAGAGAGCTTTATGACAAATGTTTGTGATTAAACGAAGGGGACATTGATTAATTATTAACCCCTATTTGTCGAATGTTGACTAGTTGTCTGTTAAAGCCTTCGTGGTTTAGGGGAACATGGAGTAATCTATGGAATAGAGAATTAATAGCTGCTAACTTGTGACATACGGGGTGAAAAGAAGACCATTTGTTTGAAGGATGGACAGAACTGATAAACTTTAGGACAGATTTGAGGTCATCGCAAGAACCTTGAAATGGAGGCAGGACGTCGTCAACATGGCGGCCACAAAATTTAATTTTCTTAATAAAATAAGGATTGCAAAAATTTTTTGTTTTTATATTATCCATGAAAATTTCTACTAAAAAAGTAGACCATTCTCTCCTGGTTTAGCTATGTTATCGTTACGGATTACAATAGAATGTTGATCGTAAAAGGAATTGCTCAAAGTGAAGAATTTTTTTAAAGCGAATTCTCGTAAAGTGAATAAATTAAGGATGTGTGCAAGAGGTATGGATGATTCGAATAGAAGATTACTGATTAGAGGAGAGACAGGAGGAAAGAGAATAGAAATGCCAAAAGAGACTATTTTGTTTTTTGACATCTCTTCAAACCACCCGAAAGATACCAACGTTGCTTTTACCTGTACACGTGTCTATTTTCTTCCAATCTGTCATCCATGGAGGTAGAATGTCATTCTACCTCCATGCTCTCATTACAGACCACACACTTTAGATGAGAATCTACTGTACTTCCCATGATAATAGAAATGTGGGGTAACAAAATGCGTAAATTGCGCGAATTTTAAATGAATCTCCAAGAAAAACAAAACATGTGAAAATTACCGCAATGCAAACTGTTGTCACCGTACTGAATTGGATAATAAGAAATGCGTAATAGACTCTGATAAGTAGTATCAGTAACAGTAGTTTGTACCATAACGGACGTTTTTTACTGAATTTGTGAGTGAGAATTTATTGTGGGTTAACGTTTGTTATCCGATCAATTGTAACTATCCTCATTAAAATAGTAATAATTTATACGCAGTTGTTACGGTGTTCTGGTATTTCCTTTCAGCCAATTAATTATGTCCAATAGACGGATTTATTCTGTACTTAATTATCTTTTAATACAAACATTTTGTTGAGGACCAGCGAACACGATATATTTAGTATTACTTGTATCTTTGTCTGAGATGGTCACTTCACGTAAGTTTTTTAAATTTACTACGTTTCAATTTTTATTTATAGGTAATATATCTAGATTACTGTTCATTAATACAGGAAGAGTTTTATATTAAAATATATCGTTGTTTGCTAGTTGACATTTTCGAGTTAAAGCTGGTTAAATACATTTTACTGGTTGTACAACCAGTTTTAATTTTTGTTATGTTTGTTCAAACATGCGTCTTTTTATACAAATTTGATTTGGATTATCTTATCAAATATGGGCCATCTTACCTTATGACATTATATGTAAATAGTACAAAAATTGTATAGCGAGTTAAGTGTTTCAACATTGTTTACTTGTAGGTAACGCTAACTTGTGTGTGTTTGTATTTTTTTATTGACGTAGTGAAACATGTTGAAAACGAAATTGGTTCATGGAATATTGAAAACGCCATGTCTCCAAACGTTAGAGAGAAACTAAGACGAGACACACATAATGGATTCGCTTCGATGATAGTTAGTTTAATATTAGGGCTTTTAGCAGGCATAATGATAGGCGCACTTGAAGATGAAGATAAACACTTTATAATTGCCACGCAGTTCATAAAATATTTGCCTGAGGGAAAAATTACCATATTTTTCATTAATTCAGTTAGATTCTTCTGTTATCTCTCGGCTTACCTAATTGCAGTGGCGCCTGCCCATCATATGGTTTATGGTTTACGTAATAATGGAAAGAATGGAAAGAATAAATTATGGGTGTGAAAATCTACAGTATATAAAACTAAACGAAAATTATCAAAAGGCAGTGTCAGAAAGACTTGTATGGAGTATAAAATTACACGTTAAGAATTGCATGTAAGGAAAAATGTGAAATTATTTCATTCTAATATCTGAATCATTGTGCCCTTTTTTTCCTGTACACATTAGTTTTTAATTTTAGGCTCGGACGTGAAGTCGAAAGAAGGACAAAAGTTTTAATGCTTCCCTTTAAGATATGTGGTAATTTGATGTTTGTGAGTCTTGCCGCTTATTATTTCTCTGTATGCCATCGTGCACCAATCTTAATACTGTATAGTCCAATTAAATTGAAGATTGGAAGCTTTTCGTTAAGTTGGGATATTCTGCGACTTATTAGCTTGATATCTATTTCACGGTTTACCTTATTTACGCTCACGACATGCGGACAATCTGTTGAAGATTTGCTGATTAATATAAAACAAAATAGAATTTGTGTAAACATTTCTAATGAATTTATTTTAGTCGGACGAAATATTCGACACATCTGTGCGAGTTAAGTGGTACCACTGGAGTCAAGCCAGCAAAAAGAACCTATCTCATACATCTTATAAATGCCCAGAAACCGTTTAAAGTTATAGTGAGAACATTTCAGTGAATTATCAGTTAGCAGTTGATGTAAGTGATTATTTATTTTCTTTTATTTGCTGATACAATAAATTAAAATTACAAAGGGTATGACTAGCAGCAATAAAACTCAGTTTAGAGTTTATTATTCTTTTTTTTTTCCAGATTTTGGGAGCTTTCGTATCTGCTTTGACGTTTGTCGTTCAGTTTCAAAACGCCCGAGACCCTGAATCTGTTTAACAATGCTTAGGTATATGTATAATAAATCAGTTCTGAATTTTGGGCAGTTAAATATTTGATAATAGGTGCCTAAAGTATTTCTTTAAAAAATTAGGCAATTTTAGGTAACCGAAACTTCATCGCGTAGATTGAATTTTTGATTTGTTTATAATTATTATATTTTAGATATTCCTCTAAACTGTTCGCTATAAAGTTTTCTGATTTCAACAAAAATGGCTTCATATTTAGAAAATATTCGTTCTACCTCATAGGGTGTGATGGGAGCAAACTCATAAGAATAGTTTACTTACTGCTGATGGGTAGAATCGAAATGTTCTTTGTAAAACATAGTCGTCTTAAGCCATGTTACCCAGCTAGTTAAAACAGATTCGTGTGGCAGGGGTCCATTTTTTAACTTTTTCTGGTGAATTTCCACTTTGACAAAAAATGCTTAACATTAGATATCAAAATATTTACATTTTCGTATTGATTTCGAATTTTATAGGCCAATCAATTAAAAGCATGAGCCCAACGAGTTTGTTTGTGCTGATATAAGTGTGTTTTTTCACATATAAATTACAAAAAAATCGTACACATAAATCAACATACGCATTAGGCATTTTAAGTGTTTAAGTTATACCTATTTTTCGAAAACAAAAATTGCTAGCATTACGGGACTTATTAATGACCGAAATAGATGTATAGGACAGAAAATTCGCAGATCGTCCTGGCCTGGTAGACTTTTTCAAGAAGTTAGTGTATCTTTATTACATCAAGAACCGGTTGCAATCTTTGAATCGATAACAAAACATGTCTAAAAGTCTAGATTTCAAGCAAAAAATCCAAATTTCAATGATCATAGTTTTAACAATAATAATATTAATCAAGAATAATAATATATTTGTTCCCAACAGGTAATACACCCAATAACAGGAAACAGCAAAATATACCCTAAAACTACAAAATTAAGAAACAAAACAATCAATCATTCTCACAAAGCATCAAACTAAACTAAAAATTCCAACATTATTCTAACGAACACTCCAACAAACACTTTTTTATTTTGAGAAATGAATCGGCGTGTAGATCACATCTTCCAGATATTTTGTTATATAATTTTAGAGATATTTAGGAGCTTTAAATGCTAAATAGGCACTTACATATATGTTAGGCAGTTTATCCCGAAAAAATAATGCTCCAATTACTTTATTTCACTCAGATGTAATTTATATTCAAGTTTCATTGACGTGTCTTAAAAAATTAAAATAGTCACTTTTATCCAATTTCCAGATCTTAATAATAAATATTTCTTATACGAGTGTACATTTTGCGCAATTTGTAATTCGTAAAAATAAAGACGAGTTGTTAAATTTTTTTTTTCTTTTTTACTTTACGAGCGTAAGCAAAGGAAGTATTTATTGAAACAGGGTCCATCCGACGAATGGCTACTTACATGATTTCTCGACGTTTCATGACCTCTAAAGTACGAAAAAAATGGTCTCCCGTTTCCGTCTGACTGTCTGTCATCTATCTATCCTCGGTCTGTCGTCTGTGTCGATTTTTATTAAAGAGAAATCTTTGAAGCTCCTGGGCCCATTGTTGTCCAATCTTATATGTACTTTAGGAGTATCTTGTAACCCCCTTACAGGGTTTCAAAGAAATGCTACTTTATTGTTACCTCACGAAGTGGGTTTTAACCCGAGCCCAATAAAACTACGTTTACGGGTTTTACGACAAATTATATTATTAAAGGAATTACATACGATAAGCCAATCACTGTTAAAATGCGGAAGGGCACCTTTTCTTTCCTCAGCGTAGGCGGCGGAGGCTCCTGACTCTTCCTTCTGTTCTCAGGTCCCGTCTCTTCCCGAAAATCTTTGAAAAGCCCCTGAACTTGACCGTCTTCCTCCCGAACTCCTCACTCCCTCCTCGCCCCGCTATCTCTCCCGTTTTTATCTCCGCTTTTTCTCCCCGTTTTTTCCCATAGCTCCCACCAACACTACGCGTGATAGACGCGTTCTTTCTTTGAATGTAAATCAATTTAAAATTAAATAAAAATCCGTTACAATCTTGTGGATTAAGGTAAATAGTGGAGTGCCGTATTGTTAAAAGGCTAAATGAAAAAGTTTACCCATCAAAATTTGCCGATCTCTATTACAACAATTTATAACAACAATTAATTGAAGAATGAGAAAAATATGAAGAAAAAAAAAATTGTATTAAAGATTTAAATTTTATATACAATAAATGATATTTGTATAGCAACTTTAACATTAATGTAAAATTTTTTAGCTAAAAATAACAAATTTACAAAAAAAAATGATAATAAGGCAAGTTGCTCAAAATTGTATACATATCGGACCAAAGATACAAAAAATAGGTAAAATATACTGCATTAATAAAAAAAGACGAGATTTTCAGAAAAAAATAAATGTTTATTATTTCATTTTATAAAAAGTGAAAAATTTTGAGTCAATTATCTACATTATCATTGTCATCGACCTCATTAATTTTGATGATAGGTGATGTATTAGTACAACGGTTGCCATTGCATTTTAAGCAAGCTACAGTGCAATTCAATCCACTCTTCCTGCACCCACAAGATGCTATATACATCCTGTTTTGCAACTGTAAAAAATAATTTTCAGTAAGGTCTGTGGAGCTGATAGCTACGTCATTGTTTCTGAATAATATTTTCATTGTATGTTGATTGGAGAAATCCCTACAGTTACGATAGATGAATCCATATGTCGCATATGTTCGCAATGATATCAGTTACATAGTGAATAAGAGTTAGCTTACTGTCAAAAATTATTCCTAGATCCTTGAAGTTATCTACTCTATCGATGAGTGAACCGTTGATGTTGTAGTTGTATGTGAATAGGAAATGTTTGCGTGAAAAGGACAACACTTTACATTTCCGAATGTTAAATACAGTAAAACTTCTCTATGCCGGAATCGCGCGGGTCCAGAATTTTTATCCGTCTTAAACAGGGTTCCGGCTTTTACAGGAAACCCACCTATGACGGAAACTAAACCTCTATAAAACCCAAATCAATTTTTATTAAATTGAATACATAGGTGCATATAAAAGAATTATTTGAAATAGTCGTTTATTGTTTTTTGCTTCTTCTGCCATTGAGATATATTTTCCATACTTGTTCTCAACTGCAAAAGGTTGCTACACGCTCACCGCTTTGCCATTCTTCTCTAATTTATTTTAGGAGTATGTTTTATAATTTGATACCGAACTTGTTGCAAAGTTCTTTAACACTCAAATTTTGCTGCTCGTGTACATTAATTAAATTCATTTTGGTGTTATTGTTGGTCTTTTTTGGGCCATTGCGAACACACATACAACCACGAGAGACACCAATGTGAATTGAGAACAGTGATTTTCTGTTGACAAAAATGCACCTGCAGGTCTACGAATTGAATTACATGTTTTTCGTAGAAAAAATCAATTTTGTTCTCGCTTCCGTTTTACACAGAGTTGGGTGCATGTATTTTGACATGTTGGGATTTACAAACATTTTTCGTTTCCGCGTTATGCAGTTTCCGGCTTATACGGACCAAAATACATTAAATTGGGTATTTGAAAAAACGGGACTGCGGAAAATTTCCGCGGTGAGCAGTTTTCCGCCTTCTACAGATTCCGGCATAGACAGGTTTCACTGTAATAAATGATGACGTATGCATCAAGAATACAGGAGGTTAATACACAATTGTAATGATATGCAATCGTCCACAGAATCGACTTCCGCATAGAATTTTAGATCATCTGCAAACATTAATTTTCTACACGGGAGCACAGCTGCAAGATCATTGAGAAAATATAGAAACAATAACGGGCCCAAGTTAGAGCCCTGTGGAACTCCTGAGGATTGAATGAAAGAATTAGAGTAAAAGTTTTGATATTTAACCATAAACATTCTATTGTCTAAGTAAGAGCAGAACAATTTAATTAATGAGTTCGAAAAGCCCAAGTTGCTTAATTTCTCAAGGAGTAACCCGTGGTCTATCTGATCAAAAGCTTTGGTGAAGTCGGTGTATACTACATCGCATTGTCCATTGCAGTCAGTGATTTCCGATACATATTGAGCGAATACAGCTACGTTTGTAACCGTTGATTTTTTCTGCATGAAGCCATGTTAGACGGGGAAAATTAAGTGTTTAGTCGAGTCGTAAATATCAGAGTACAATATTTTTTCAAAAATCTTTGCAAAATTACATAGCAAGGAAATTCCTCTGTAATTAGAGATGTCATTCTGCCGACCGTTTTTGAAAATGAGACTAACGTAAACGTTTTTGCATAATGTTGGAAATATTGCGTTTTTTAAAATAAGGTTAAAAATGATACACAAAGGATGTGCAAAATCTGCAGCACAGTCCCGGAGTATAAACGAAGGAATCCCATCAACTCCCATTGTAAAAGAATGTTTCCATCTTTTTAATGCCTTTGCAACAGTGTCAGCTGTGATTTTAAAACCAACAATTTAAGAACTTACGTTGGTATTTGATGATAACCGTAAATCAACTTGACTGGACTTAATGAAGACACTACTAAAATACTCTCCGAATGCGTTAAAACA